CCGAGCCCCCGGCGATGCTTTTGGGGGGGCTGAGGGATGGTGACGGGGTGCTCTCGGTTTTCCAGGGTCCCCGTGTCACTGGCCGAGGTGTGGGAAGAGGCGATGGATCCTTGGGGGGCCGAGGAACCGGAGCAGACGGTGCTTTTTGGGGGTGACGGGGAGGAGGAGGATGCCTACGACCCCCCGGTGATGCAGAGTAAGTGTCGAGGAGGTTTTGGGGGGGCCCTCATTGCGCTCCAGCCTTGGGAAGGGGAGGGAGACCCCCCCCATGGGCACCCAGGTCCCGCGGCGTGTACCCCCCCCCAAACCCACGTCCTCGGTCCCTGGTAGAGCTGGATACGGCCGCCTTCTTGGCTCACCCCGAGGAGGGTTCACCGGGAGAACGGAGCCCGGCGCGGGAGACCCTGCGTTGGACCGTGGTCCAGCAGATCGACTCTCCCGGCGCGGCGGGAGGTCGGCGTGGCGGTAAAACCGGATCGGGAGCTGGCGCCTTCTCCAACTTCAAGAGCATCATCGTGTTGCAGAAGAGTTACGAGTGTGGGGAATGCGGCAAGAGCTTCAGCTGCAGCTCCCACTTCAGCAAACACCGGCGGACCCACACCGGCGAGAAACCCTTCCTCTGCCTCCATTGCGGTAAGAGCTTCAACGTCAGCTCCAACCTCTACCGGCATCAACGGGCTCACGCCGCCGAACGGCCGGGTCCACCAGCTCCACCGGCACGGCCCCGCGGGTTGCCGTATAAATGCGAGGAGTGCGGTAAGAGTTTTCGCCGTAACAAGGAGCTGGTGACCCACCAACGGTTGCACACCGGTCGCTTGCCCTTCCAATGCGGTCACTGCGGGAAGAGCTTCAGTTGGAGCTCCCATTTTGACCGGCACCAACGCGTCCATACCGGTGAGAAGCCCTACCAGTGTCCCGAATGCGGTAAGCGTTTTAGCCGTAGCTCCCACCTCTACCGGCACCAACGCACCCACGCCGGCGGTCGCTCTTACATCTGCACCTATTGCGGGCGTAGTTTTGGTAGCACCCTCCATTTTGACCGGCACCAACGCACCCACACCGGCCAACGACCCTACAAGTGCACCCTGTGCCGGAAAAGTTTTGGCGATGGGCCGGCGTTGGTCAAACACCAACGCCTTCATCTGGGTGATGGTCCTTTCCGTTGCGAAGAGTGCGGTAAAGCCTTTGGCGCCCGCGCCCAATACGCCCGGCATCGGCGTAGCCTCCACGGCGGCGGTGAGAAACCATACCGTTGCGGTGATTGCGGGAAGAGTTTTTCCTGGAGCTCCCATTGGGAACGACACCAACGTATCCATACCGGCGAACGACCCTACCAATGTGGGGACTGCGGCAAACGTTTCGGCCGGACCTCCCATCTCTACCGGCATCAACGTACCCACGCCGGCGGGCAACCCCACATCTGTGCCGATTGCGGGAAGAGCTTCAACAGCACCCTACACTTCCATAAGCACCAACGGGCTCACGCCGGTCCCCGGCACGCCTGTCCTGATTGCGGCAAGACGTTTGCCGACGGTTCGGCGTTGGCTAAGCACCGACGGGCGCACGCTGGCGAGAAGCCTTTCCCTTGCCCGCAGTGCGGCCGGCGTTTCGGCGTCAGCTCCCATCTTCACCGTCATCTCCGTAGCCACGGCGAGGAGGAGCCGCCGGAGGAGCCACCGGATGAGCTCATGCCCCGTTAACCGGGGGACAGCGAGAAGGGGGGGGACATAGGGTTGACCCCCCCGGGTGGCTCCCGTCCCCCCCCCCCCCTGTCACGGGGGGCCTCGGGAAGCCCCCCTGTGGGTTGGGGGGCCCGGGGGGGCCATGTGTGATGGGTGCCACGGGGATGGGTGCTCTCACGCCGGTGATGTCCCCTGGTGGCACCAACCCCGGCCCTGAGGACGTAGTTTTTGTAGGGTAGAGTAGGACGGTAGGGTAGATAGGGGAGGATGGAGACGGGGCTGGGGGGCCGAGTGGGAATTGGGGGGGGGTCCCCTCCAGAAAATCAGACCTAATCCTGCCGACGGACATCAGGACATCCCAACCGTGCTCCTTCTCCACATGTAGTCCAGGAGAAACCAGCTCCATGGGTGTTGGGGAGATGGTGCCGAGCGGCTGGGGAGGCGTGAGGTGAAGGGTGGAGGGTGCAGAAGATCCCACTGGCTCCTTGCTAAACTCGGAGAGACCCCAAAATATCTGGGGTGGCTTCATCCCTTGACCACCCCACCTTCTCCATGCTGCCAGCCTTGACCAACACCCAAAGCCTGAGCCCTCCCAGCCGCGCTTGGGGCGTGATGATGCCATCTACCAAATGACACCATTTGGGGCAAAATATCCTGGTTTTGTGGCTTTGTTGTTAAAAAACAAGCCCAGGCGTCCACCCCCGGCGGTTCCCAGCCACGCGCCACGGTTTGGCTACTGGCGATGCTTCGGCGCGGACCTGGCGCGAGTGGTTTATTTAATGTATTTATTGTATTTATTCAGCGGGAGCCCACCTGCGGTTGGAGGAACCCAACGGGTTGGGGTGAGCTGGAGGCTGTTGGGGACAGGAGCTGGGCCAAGGGAGGGTTTGTCCCCGAGCTGGCATGGGGACGCTCATGGCTCCTCTTGGGTTGCTCGATCAACCACCATGCAAAGGGAGCTCATGGTGGGAACCCATCGGTGATGGGGAGGAGGTAGCACCACCCATGGCTGGAAAGAAAGCCCCAGGAGATCACGGGGAGCATCACCTGCAGGTATTTCCCAGCTGAAAAGAGGTGAACCCTTGGGGTGAACCTCAGGGATGGGAGCAGGACACAAATCCGGGAATTTCCTGGCAGTTTTGGGGTCGCGGCCGTGCCGGCTGCCTGGTCCGTCTCTTCCCAAGATGAGCAGGAGCTGTGTTTGTATTGTGAATAAAAATAGACTAGTGCAAAACGCGGTGGGTGGCTTCTGCTTCTCCTTGGAGGAGCTGCGAATCCCAGCTCTTCCCGTGCGGAAAACCAGAGGTTTGGGGGTCACCTTGGGTGGTGGTGATGGGAGGTGAAAGGTTGGGACTATGTGTCCCCCGCTACCTGTGTTGTCCCCCCCAGAATGCCCCGTGCTTTGGAAGGTCCCCCCTTCCCAGCAACGTCCCACGCCGACGCTGGCTGGGTTGTCCCAAATACACCCAACCCCAAACCCCTTCCACCTTCTTTTGGGTCCCGGAGGATCTCCAAGGAGGGAGATCCTCTGCCTTCATTGGGTCCCGGAGGATCTCCGAAGAGGGAGATCCTCTGCCTTCATTGGGTCCCGGAGGATCTCCAAGGAGGGAGATCCTCTGCCTTCATTGGGTCCCGGAGGATCTCCGAAGAGGGAGATCCTCTGCCTTCATTGGGTCTAGAGACCTTCATTTGGTCAAGAGAGGCTCTCCAAGGAGAAAGATCCTCTGCCTTCATTGGGTCCCAGAGGATCTCCATGGAGGGAGATCCTCTGCCTTCATTTGGTCCAAGGAGGATCTTCAAGGAGGATCTTCTGCCTTCATTTGATCCAGGGAGGATCTGCCCTGAGGGCATCCCCCCACGCACCCTCAGGCTTTAGGGGGCCCAGGGGACAACTGGGGACCCCCGAACGGGCAAGCAGCTGCCTCCCCTGCAGGTGTGGCCTGGGCAGAGGGACACCCTGCCCCACCTTGCTGCCAGCCCCTGCCTGCTACCGCTTCCCTGGTGTGGAGTCTCCAGTGCCTACCACTCGGGCTGAGCTTTGAAGGAGAGCCCATTCCCCAGTTTCCTTAGGATGTGGCCCCTGGTTTCCTTGGGATGTGGCCTCCAGTTTCCTTGGGATGTGAGCATCTCCTTGGGCATCTCCTTGGGCAACTCCTCGGGCAACTCCTCGGGCAACAACTTGGGCAACTCCTCTGGCAACTCCTTGGGCATCTTGGGCATCTCCTTGGGCAACTCCTCGGGCAACAACTTGGGCAACTCCTCAGGCATCTCCTTGGGCATCTCCTTGGGCAACTCCTTGGGCAACAACTTGGGCAATTCCTTAGGCATCTCCTTGGGCATCTTGGGCATCTCCTTGGGCAACTCCTTGGGCAACAACTTGGGCATCTTGGGCATCTCCTTGGGCAACAAACAACTTGGGCATCTCCTCGGGCATCTCCTTGGGCAACTCCTTGGGCAGGGGGCCGCAGCGTTAACCCCTGAGGGTACGTTTGCCCCCACCTCTGAAGGTTGATGGCTTTGGGGCTCCGGACCCCCCCCATCTTTGACCCCCCCCCCC